AAAAAAAAAAAAAAAAAAGTCCAAAACAAGTATTAGCTCAAATGACTACCAGCAGGAAAATATGTAAAACATTCTAGAAACATCAGATGAGACTGAGTGGACTATTACATGAATGAATCTCATAAAGGGCAAACGAAACCAGATACAGAAGAGTAAAGTCTATGAAATTTTAAAATAAAATTTATATTTATAAATTATAACATTCACAAACAAGCACAACTGATTACTGGCAATAGAACCTAAGATAGGTACTGCGTTTGATTGGCAGGTCTCCGGGTGGAAGGCACTGTGTCGATCTGGGTGATAGTCACGAACGTGATTGCTTTGTGAAAATTAGTTGAATTATAAATATATGATTTACTTGCTGTATTATGGTTGTATTTTTTTTCTTTTTTTCTTTTTGTTTTCTTTTTTTTCCTTTCTCAGAATTGGGGATAGAAATCAGGCCCTTGCTCTTGCCAGGCAAGCACTTATTCTACAGAGCTATTTCCCCGGCCCTACTGCTGTATTTCAATTAAAAAATTGTCTTAAAGAAAAGCCAGTATTGGGGCTGGTGAGATGGCTCAGTGGTCTAAAGCACCTACTTAGAACAAGCTAAGCTAAACAAAGCACAAGGACCACGGTTCAATCCCCCAGCACCACATGCCAGCCAGCCCCGCCCCCTGGTGGGCTGAGCTGGCCACACACACACACACACACACACACACACACACAAATTAAAAAAAAAATTTAAAAAAAAAAGAAAGAAAAGCCAGTATTTGTCATTCTTCCTCTCCTTTGTCAAAAGATGTGACTAAGTATATCCTAGGTTGTCACAGTAATTATTATGAAATCTGAAATGTTAAATAAAAGATTATTAAGCAAGATGAAAAAAGTAAATCTTTTTTCCTGTTTTCTTTTTGTTTTTTGTTTTATTTTGTTTTGTTTTTGCTTTTTGAGACAGGTTCTCTTTGTGTAGTTCAGACTAGCCTTGAGCTCACAACATAGCCCAGGCTGGCTTCAAACTTGTAGTAATGGTCCTCCTGCCCAAATGCTGGGACTACAGGTGTGCCCCTCCCCCCATGGCTGGCAACATTTCTATGAATAAGTTTTGGCAAGTTATTTGAAACTTTAAAAAATATGAATTACTAATAAAACTTAAGTCACAATTGTTGTATATTTTTAAAATAGCTCTAACTGTGAATTTAGTAATACAGAAATCTAAATTCTGTGAGGTCTGATGGCTCATACCTGTAATCCCAGCTACTCTGGAGGCTGAAGCAGAAGGATCACAGTTTCAAGGCCAGCCTGGGAAACTTATTAGAATATTTTGGAATTTTAAAAGGGCCAGGGACATAGCTTAGTGGTAGTGCCCAGGGGTTCAGTCCCAAGTAGGAGGAACTCTTGAAGATATAGGGCTAGGCAAAGAGTTCATGAACAAAAGTCAAATCACATGGGGAATACTTAAAAGAATTAACAACTGGGACCATCTCTTATTGAGAAGTTTTTGCACATCAGAAGAAATTGCCAACAAAGTGAAAAGACAACTCATAAATTTTGAAAAAATCTTAACTAATAAGCACTCAGACAAAGGTCTGCTCTCTAGAATTTATGAAGAACTAAACAACATTAGGGCCCCTAACATCCAAGATGAACACACACTTCTCAGAGGATGAAATTAAAGGAGTGAATAAATATATGAAAAAATGTTCCACATCACTAGCCATCTGTGAAATGCAAATTAAAACAACACTGAGATACCATCTCACCCCAGAAAGAATGGCTATCATAAATCAACCAACAACAAATGTTGGAGAGGCTGTGGGGAAAAAGGAACACTTCTCCACTACTGGTGGGAACGTAGACTGGTGCAACCATTATGGAAATCAGTGTGGAGACCCCTTAAAAAAAATAGGACTGGAAATCCCATTCAAACCAGCTATCTCCCTACTGGGAATTTTCCCGGAGGAACTGAAAACATCATATCACAGTGATATATGTGTACCTATGTTTATAGCAGCACAATTTGTGATAGCCAAATCTTGGAAACAACCAAGATGCCCATCACATGAAGAATGGTTGAAAAAGATGTGGTATTTTTGTACAATGGTGTATTAATCAGCTATAAAGAATGATAAACTTGAAGCCTTTATATTAAGTGGATGCCACTTGAAGATAAAGTGATATAAAGCAGACCCACATGTGTAAATATCATATAGTCTCCCTAGTATAAGAACTCAGAAGAAGAAACACAAATAGAAAGGTATAACACAATTAAAAGGAAAGTGAGAACCTGAGGATTGGACAACAGGGAGAGGACAAGGAGAAAAGCTGGGAAACATGACAGGGGTAAAGCCACACATTTATATGCACAAGATGGGCAAGGCAATGATCCTGAGAAACATTAGCAGGTTTTTGAAACTAGCAGTTAATTGGTAGGATTCTCACCCAGACTAGCTATACATGCTGATACCTGTGAACCAAGCAACTGCACTGAAGATAGCAATGTGTAATAGAAGGGTCACGCTTGGAATGCCTGTCATTCTGGTCTTCTAAATACGTACTTCTTGTCATGACATACCAATTATTACCATACTGTGTCTCAAGTAAACTCTGAGCTATATTAATTTTTTTCCTTTTTTTTTATGGTGCCTCTTTCCAATGTATCACAAATACTTTGTGACTGCAGGCCGACTGTACAGGAAGATGGAGGAGATGTAATCTATAAAGGCTTTGAAGATGGCATAGTACAGCTGAAACTCCAAGGGTCTTGCACCAGCTGCCCCAGCTCAATCATCACTCTGAAGAATGGGATTCAGAACATGCTACAGTTTTATATTCCGGAAGTAGAAGGTGTAGAACAGGTGTGCCAGTATCATTACAGCGTAGATTTAACAGTAAGATAAATATGAAAAGAAATTTATCACCTGACATTTTTTCCAAAGGCAAGATGTTTGTGTTATAATTTTTCTCAAACTAGGAGCCTTCTTATTTTAGCAGTAACTTCAGTGTTATGAATGCCTACTCTGTACTATGAATGCTTTTTTTCTTTTTTACAACTTACTGCCTTATTTAATCTAGAATGTAATGCATTAAATCATTCCCATTTTGTAGAGAAGGAAACTGACACATGGAGGGTATACTGCTGCTCTGATTGTAGAGAAATTATGAAATGGAATTCAAAATATGTGATTTTATAGGTAAATTTTAGAAGTTTTTAGAGCAAGGGCTCTACTACATTATTTATCAATCTCTCATTTCTCCTTTTCCCTCTCTCCTCCCTTCTTTGCCTTCTCCTTCCTAAAGCAGTGCCAGGGATTGAACCTAAGGCCTTGTATGGACTAGTTAAGTGCTCTACCACTGAGCCACAGGCTTATGCCTAGTCCTACTTACTCTTAATCATGTAGCCAAGGCATTTACCGAATTTTAGAGCTTTAGCTTTGGCATGATGTCTATTGTCCTCAATATGCGTAAAGAATATAACACAACAGTCGCAGTACCTCTTACTACAGTGATGGTTTTATGGAAAGAGATTATCAAGGAGAGAAAACATATGGAAATAAGAAATTTGAGAAAACTACTATAGTTCTCTGTTCTTGAGAAAAGGTGTATCTCCCTTCAGCTCCTTTGAGCATCATTGATGACTAAGTAGTATTAAAAATACATCCTTTTGGGCTAATACATGCCATCTGCCCTTTGAAGTCTTTATCAGTCCTCTGTGTAAGATGAAACTCTGCTTTCTATGTATCTGTTTTTGTATTACATTTAGGCATAAGCTCTCTAAGAGACTAGAAATCATATCTAAGTCTGTATTTCTCTGCAGTATCTAGCCCTGTGTCTTACAAATGTCTTTTACAAGTTTGCATTAAATAAGTATTTAGGGATAGTATTCCAAATTTAGAAATAATTCTGCCTAAAATAGGAGTTGATTTACAGAATTCTTCAGACTGGATGTTGCCGTGATTGGCTATAAAATATTAATTGTGGGCTGCGAAGCTAGCTCAGTGGCTGAAAGCACTGGCCTAGCAAGCACAAGGTCCTGAGTGCGATCCCTGGAACCAAAAATAAATAATGAAACACTGGTTTAGGAAGGAATTTGACCACTAAAATATTAATTGCTTGGGCATAAAATATCTTTTTACAATGTTTTTATAATTTATTTATTTCATATATGGTCTCGCTGTGCAGCTTGGGCTCGTAGTGATCCTCCTGTCTTAGCCTCCCCAGCACTGGGATTACAGGTGTGCCCCCTTTTTTTTCCTTCAACTCACGGCAGTCCTCCTGCCTTGGCCTTCTGAGTGTTGGAATGGTGGCACACCTGTAGGTGTGTGCCACCATCCTTGGCAAAATATCCATTTTTATTCAACCCAAAAGAAACTATCTCATCATATCCAAATATATTTAGATTTTAAATCCATTTATTTTTTATTTTGAGATGGGATCTTAGTATTTTGCCCAGGATGGTCTTAATATGGAAACATATTAACATATTCATTATTTTCTTTGAAGGTTCATTAATATTATTTTTCACTGAAAATGTCCATATTTTTTAAAGGTTAAAATTTTATTGAATAAACCAAAATAATTGGTTCACAGTATAGGTTTTTTTTTTGCTTTCTTTTTAACTTTTTTTTTTAAAGAGATTTGTTTTTCTAGTAAATATTTTTATGTGAATAGTTTGGTTTAGTTCTACAGAATATAATTCAGTAAATAAGATGCTGTGGGGTAGAAGACAAAAAGTTACTTACATCAATCTTACCACTAAAAAAATACCAGTTTATCATTTAGAATCTTCTTTGCCCAGATGAGACTCTCTTATGAAAGCCTCCTTAGAGACAAGGAAGCGACAGCAGTATTTTAATAATATTGTACATATTTGCTTTCACTTCCTTAGGACACTAGGTTATAATCCAAATTTTGTACTTTGGGGCTTTTCATAGATTTCTTCTTACTAGATTGCCATGCATTGATGTAGACTATTTCAGGTAGGCAACTAACAGTAAAATAAGAAAACAACAATAGTAATCCTTTTCTTAATTCTCTTTGTCTTTTGGCTTTAGGTGAAGGATGATGAATCAGATGAAAAAGAAGCAAACTCGCCTTAAAATAATCTGGATTTTCTTTGGGTATAACAGTTGGACTTATAATGTATACCAAGTTTTTATTAATATGCTGGGGAACTTGAAGATGAACAAAAATGCCCTTTTCTTAGAGAATGATGTATAAATGTTGCATGTTTGCTTTACCTCAGGAGTTATTTATAATATCCTGAGTCATCTTCTGTACACATGGATTTTATCCAGGGATATTTTTATTTTTGTTCTTCATTTCTCTTGGTGCTTTCTTTGCATAATATGTGATGCCATTTCAAATCTTTTTTCTCTCACCTATTTTCTTTCTATGCAGAAGTTAATAGGTAGAATGCTTTTTAAAATATTCTAAAAGGTGTAGCTTTTTGTGAGATGTCTGAAACCATTTTTACTGAAGTTTCTAGCTTATTTAAAAGCAAAACACAACTAATTCTGGGTTTCTGGCTAGTAAATAGCACATAACTTGTCACTGAAAGACCAAATTTCATTTAGAAAAATAAAAAATCAAAAACCTAGGAGCTAGGGATATAGCTCAGTGGTAGAGCACTTGTCTGGCATGTTTGAAGACTGGGTTTAGTCTTTGGCACTAGAAATTCTTAATGTCAGAAGCTCAAGAACTATGTTCCAGAATCTGGACATAATTTCAGATGTTTATAAGATGAAAAAAAACCCTTTTTGTTTCGTTGGGGTTTTTTTGATACCGGGTTGGCCTCAACTTTGGATCCTGCTGCCTCAGCTTCCTGAATGCTGGGATTACACATGCACCACTGTGTCCAGCCTGTGAGAGGCTGCTTTGGTCTTTCTTGCACTTGCTCCTGCCAACTTAGAGGTCCATATATTGTTTAAAACTTCAAAATTTGCATTAGTTGGTATTAATTTCTGTGCCATGCCAGAGATTTGGAGTTATCTTTCTAGTGTTGAGTACTGCTTTTTCAGAGAGACAAAATAGTATCAACCATGCCACCTTCTTTCAGCTTTCTATGGCAATTTACAGAAAACACCGAGAAAGGAAAGATGAGCAATAGCAGTGATAACTTAGATCTCTGGAATTCTAGCCACAAAAGTATAAAATTAAGATAGAGAAACAGGAAAAACCCTAACAGTTGTGAATGCTGGGAATTGAAGGTTTTATTTTTGTCTTTTGGTTCACAGAACCAGACAGTGGGATGGGTTGGAAAATTTATTCTCTGAGCTGCTCTAAATAAATAAAGGCAAAAGGATGGGAATTACTTGGTAAGCTAGGCACCTAAACCTGACCTTTTCTTAAAGTTACAGGAAGTTGAGACTTGGAAAAAATAATCGATAACAAGTCTGAGTATGACCTGAAAGAAGAGAATCCAGGGAGAGGTTTAGATTATTAGGAAAGGGTAAATCATGAAAATGAGAGACCCAAACAGGTACAAGGTGAGGGAAGAACATTCTAGGCATAAGAAGCAAAGTCACCCCTGGCCTCCTGTGCCGGGGACCCCGCTCTTGGGGTGCACTGAGCCACAGTTGAGACTGGGTGTGGTTGCACATGCCTGCGATCCCAGCTCTTGGGAGGCTGTAAACAGGAGGATCACTAGAATCTGATCTAGTAGTAAGACCCTGAACACCCTGTAGACCCTTCCCTAAAATACAAAAAAAGAAGAAGAAAAAGCAAAGTCAAAGGTGTGAGATATACTCGGGCACTGCAAGAAGCTAAGTGGTGTAAGTGCTAAAGTGGAAATGCTGAGCTGGAAACAGTACAGAAGTCGCAGTGGGCAATATGAAGAGTACTGCAGAAACTCCTGGCCACCTGCCCGGCATACACACCTACAGCTTGCTAGGGGAGGCTGTCTTAGTCTTTAAGGCAGTGACAAGGAAGGGCCTACCCTTCTCAGTGTAAGGGGATGTCCTAGATAGTTAAAAATGGACATTTTAACTTCATCTGTCTTTGCCAACATTAGCTAATGGGTAGGGGGTGACCCAGCCTTAGACCATCAGAGGGTCTTACTTAATGCTGGAAAATTTTCCTTCCCAGAAAGGGTGGAGGGAGTAGAGAGGAGGGGACAAAGTGTCTGGGGGAAAATCTCATCCGTTCATCCATTCCTTTCCTCCCTGCTTAGTACACTATGATGGAAGCTACACAATGCAATGAAATCACCTTGTAATCCTAACAAAACAAGCAGTCTTCTGAGAATGTTGGGGAGGAGCAAAAGGGCCTCTGTTATTGAGGGCCTCCTTACTCCTACAGGCAACTCGGGAACTATCTGCTTTTGCTTTTGGCTGTTACAGGTGTCCTGTAACTTGAAGCTGACTGCATTCTAACATAGACAGAGACTGGTAAGTCATGGAGGACTTGGCAAGTAATTTACTGCTTTTTGTTTGTGGCAAGCTGCCAAGTTCCAATCTTAATATGAAACATAACATGTAAGCCTATAATCCCAGCACTCAGGAGGCTGAGGCAGGAGAGCTTTGTGATTTTGAGACCAGACGGGGCTACAAAGTGAGCTCAAGGCCAGCCTGGACTGCATAGTGAAACCCTGTCTCCAAAAGATAAATAAACAAATACATGTATTTTTAAATTGAACTACCTGTTCAGTGATTGATTTATGAGGTGTAATTTAATTAGGTAATAGTTTTTTTTTAATTTTTGAATGTTTATACTTAATTTTCCTCTATGTGATGCCAAAGAAAGAAAACAATAATTCTTTGTTAATTAGATTTAATTAAAAACAGAATTTAACTCCCTAAATTGTATAAAATATTCATATATTTTATATACTCCAACAAGCTGCGTAGTGAAACCCTATACTAAATATATAAAAGTTTTAGAAAATCCTTGAAAATGCTTCATAAACAGGACTTCCAATAAATATTTGCAACTAATATTATTGGTCAAGAATAGCCAAAGACTTGGCAGATTTTTGACTAACCAAAATTAGGACGAAGTCCTATATAGAATGATAGATAAAATATAAGAATAGCAAACTTTCACTGAGCATTGACTATGTGACAAACCCTGCTTAAACTTTAAAACACTCCTTAAACATTTATGGAAGTATTTAATCCTGTGAGATAAGTAACTAGTGCTTCTGTTTTTATGAATTAGACAGTAGAGACACAAGGGAAAGGCATATTTTACTTTGGCAGGTATCAAGTGGAAAGGGCTGAACTGGACCCTGGCATTCTGGCTATAGTGCCTGTGTACATTGTTCCTCTACTATTCTGCCTTGTGCTTTTGGGCCCACATGCCCTTCTTGAATATTTCTGTCCCAGAAAAGGAAGGGAATTTCTGGCTTTCATAGGTGCTATCTAGTGGGCAAGACTTTTCCATCTGTTATATAATGCAAACCTAAAGTAGGCAAAATTAGTGGCTTGTGCATGCTAGTCCATTTTTAGTGCATAAATATGAAGGTGGCTACTGTCTAGCTGATAGAAATCTACAACCCTTTTGAGAAACTCCACGTTATACTCCATTTCCCCACATCAGAGTAACCTATGATAACATTACAGGGTTTTTAGCCTATCCACCTCTTGCATCCTCTGAAAGAAAATCCAGAACATAGTACTTTTTCTGTCTTCTTACATTTCTAGTGGTCTTTCAGTTGTAGACAGCTTCCAACTCCATGTGCTGGCTAAGTACATCCTAAGAACAGAAATAGTAGGACAAAGATAGGACCAGTTAATCTCGTGTTTTTCAGTTTGTTAACTTTCTTGGCAGTAGAATAGATTTCTTTTTTTTTTTTTCAAACCAAATTGGTAGGACAGTTTCAATAATTAACACACTGCATACATTGTTCCTAGTGGTTAACTGCTGTACAAGATGCGGACATGATATCCTGTATACAAACACTATTAGAACAAATCCCTCTATTCATTAAGAGAATGTAACTATATATCTGTCCTAACCATTTTGAATACACAGATACAAAATGAACATTCATCTATATCCCCTTTTCTTGTTTAGTTCTGTTATTTGAATATTATAGGTGTGTTAACTCAGCAAAATGTTCTAAAAGAGTCCAGAAGTCCATAATAGTATTGGGTCTTCTACTTGACTGGCAATGTCAGAAATTGTTGACCTGAGTCCCCTAGTCCCCTATAGCTCAACATAACAGCATGGCTTTACTTCTTTTTTTTTTTTTTTCATAATTTTATTGAGAAACAAATAGCAATGAGACAGTTTCAATAATTAACACATTGCATACATTCTTCCTAATGGTTAATTGCTGTACAAGATGTGAACAGATTTCTTTGTAGTAGAGATAGAAAACTGCTCCAGCTTCTACTCATTGTAAAATTTGGAGCAAACCTGGAGAGGAGTTTTAAGAAGAGAGGGCTGGCCAAATAGCTCAGCACATTCAAGCGCCTTCAAGCAGGGGCGAGGGCGAGGAGGGGAACCCCCGGGGCACGCTAAAATGGCAATTGAGACTGGGTGTGTGGCGCATGCCTATAATCCCAGCTCTTGGGAGGCTGTAAACAGGCAGATCACTAGGAGTCAGATCTAGTAGTGAGGCCCTGAACACCCTGTAGACCCTTCCCTAAAATACAAAAAAAAAAAAAAAGTACTACTTCTAATTGGATTCTGCATCCTTTGTCCTCAAGGGATGAGGAGAAGTCAGGCCCATGTTTACTTGTAGTAGTAGATACCTTTTTGTGCCTGCTAGGTCTTCCTTTCTCCTTCTTTTAGCAACACTTCCTCTTGGTCTCTACAGTGTCTCCTACCTTGTTTGCTACAGGAGTGGGGTACATGACTCACACTGAACTAATTAGAGTCATTACCTAGATTATACAAAGGATGGAGAAAGATCCTCTCTGCCCTTGAACTGCAAACTGTAAAACTGTCCAGAGCTATTTGTGGATCATTTTCCCTTCCATGAAGCTAGGGAAATAGTGAGAGTTCTGATATTGTTTGTTTTCCTGGGTATAGATATGCCCAAAGCTGTTTGTACTCCTGTTCTTTTCAATTAACAGATTAAAAAACAAAATCCCCTTACCTAATTTGAGTGGATTAGGGCTGGCAGATCCAGGCTAGGTTCAATCCCTGGTGCTGTGCAGGCCCCGCCCCCAGGGCATGCTGAGAGTGCAATTGAGCACATGCCTGTAATCCCAGCTCTTGGGAAGCTGAACACAGGTGGATCATTACGAGTCTGATCTATGTA